AGTCATTGGATGAGGGTTGCAGTGGTTTCAGTAAGTGAGTAAAGGTACTGCAAGTCCCATCATCCATGGTCCATCCCCCTTAGAACTGCATCAGGGTGTAGAGTGGGTCATGAGTACTCTGTGTGCCACGTTTGGACCTGGTCTGTGATTTGTAGGGGCTACAATGTTCTGTGGGAAGTGAATCGGGTGATGGTACTGCAAATCCCATCATTTGTGGCCCATCCTGCCCTAAACTGCACCAGGTTGTAAAGTGGGCCATTGGGCCTCTGTGTGCCAAGTTTGGTCCTGTTCCGTCCTTAGTGTGGGCCACAGTGCTCTAAGGAAGTGAGTTTAAGTACTGCAAGTCCTGTCATCCATGGTTCATCCTTCCTCAAACTGCACCAGGATGTTGAGGTGTTTTGGACTTCAACTCCAACCATTCCTGACAGCCTCAGGCTCTTTTCCTTTTCCCTCTGCTACCTTGGAATCTTGAGGGTGGCCAATCAGAGTCCATATGCAAATTGTACCACAGTGGAAGCCAATCAGAACACTGCCACATACACCTCCCGTCCTCTACATACAAACACTGAATATTATTATATACATAGATAGATTTACATCACTTGTATACCACTTTTCTCACCCCAGGAAGGGGACTCAAAGAGGTTCCCAATATAGACTTGTTAAAATTCAATACCTCACAGACATTAAAGTATAAAACTAACATAAGCAATAAAAACATTCAACAGTCAATTAAATTATTAAAAAAAATGACATTCAAACTTTAAAACATGGAATTAAAAACATATTAATATAAATATTAAAATCACATAATCCGGCAATCCTAGTCCAGGGCTGTTCCAAGTATCAATACATAGCACATTTTTATTTATTTAAAACTTTTATATCCCGATCTTCTCAACCTCCGTAGAGGGACTCAGACCGGCTAACAGCAAGGATTCAATGCTACAGTACAGTCTAAAACATCATACAACAACAATAGATTAAAATACATATAGATTAAAATACATAAAAGCCAATTTGCCAAGATAAAATCATGTCCAACTCAGTCCGCATATGTGGTCCATAACTTTAGTCTATTGCCAGTCTCAGCCATTATTCTGGGAATGCTTCATTCCATAGCCAGGATTTCACTAGCTTCCTGAAGGTCAGGAGGGAGGGGGCAGATCTAATCTCATTCAGGAGGGAGTTCCATAGCCAGGGGGCCAGCACAGAAAAGGCCCTGTCTCTCGTTCCCACCAGCCGCGATTGCGAAAATGGCAGGACCGAGAGCAGGGCCCCACCAGAAGATCTTAACAGCTTTGATGGTTCATAGGGGAGAATACGTTCAAACAGGTAAACTGGGCCGGATTCATATAGGGTTTTGTAGGTTAAAACCAGCACTTTGAATTGTGCTTGGAAGCTAATTGGCAGCCAGTGGAGCTGGTGCAACAAAGGACGCTCTCTGTGCCCTGCTCCTCTCAATAATCTGGCTGCCGAGAGTTGGACTAATTGCAGCTTCCAGGCAGTCTTCAGAGGCAACCCCATGTAGGGAGCATTGCAGTAGTCTGTACGGGATGTAACCAGAGCGTGGACCACCATGACCAAGCCAGACTTCCCAAGGTACGGGTGCAGCTGGCATAGTCTGATCATTCATTGTATCACTTACTGCCCAAAAGCTTGGTCCCATACCCAAGATTTGACTTTTTTTCTGAAGGCCAGGAGAGAGGACGCTGATCTAATTTCACTGGGGGGGGGGGGAGTTCCATAGCTGAGGGGACACCACTGAGAAGGCCCTGTCTCTCATCCCCACCAGCACGCCTGGGAAGAGGGTGGGACCGAGAGTAGGGCCTCCCCGGATGATCTTAGCTTCCTAGATGGTTCATAGAGGGAGATTTGTTTGGACAGGTAAGCTGGGCCGGAACTGGTTACCAGTACTTTGAATTGTGCTCGGTAGCAGACTGGCAGCCAGTGGAGATGACATAGCAGGGGAGTTGTGCGCCTCCTGTGCGGCGCTCTGGTGAGCAATCTGGATGCCCATTGGACCAATTAAAGCTTATGAACAGTTTTTATAGGCAACCCCGCATAGAGTGTGTTACAGTAATCTATACGGGATGTAACTAGAGCATGGACTACCATGGCCAAGTCAGACTTCCCAAGGTATGGGCGCAGCTGGCACACAAGTTTTAACTTACCTTCGTTTGAAATGTTGGATTTTTTATCACTTCCTAAAAAGAGAGAAAAGAGCATCAGTTCTTTGAGCAGGAAAGGTTGCTTGTCTGCTAAATATTTCACAATTCTTCTAGTTTAACTCACTTAAAATTCAGTTATTAAGCAAGGAGGAGGGCAGAAAGATACAGGACTGCAGGCCACCCTGCCTCCCTGCCCAAACCGTTTTCTCTGTGCCCTTCTCTCCTGTAATCCATTCTACGCTTTGAGCTGGGATTCACTTACCTTCCTTTGAAGTGTTGGATTTTTGATCACTTCCTAAAAAAAGGAAAAAGACAAGTGGGTCAGTTATTTTGGGCAGAAAAGGGCTGCAGTTGAATCCCCATCCTCTATTCATGGCCTTTTGAAAGGCTGTGTCTCCCAAAGCAGTTGCTCTACTCCGAACTCAAGAACAGAAAACAGAATGTTGGTGGGCAGGAAACGAGATTCAAAGATGGGCTCAAAGCCAACCTTAACAACTCTGGCATAGACACTGAGAACTGGGAAGCCCCGGACCTTGAGTGCTCCAGCTGGAGGTCAGCTGTGACCAGCAGTGCTGTAGAATTTGAAGAGGCACGAATGGAGGGTGAAAGAGAGAAACGTGCCAAGAGGAAAGCGCGTCAAGCCAACCCCGATCAGGACCGCCTGGAAACCAATGCCCTCACTGTGGGAGAAGATGAGGATCAAGAATAGGGCTCCACAGTCACCTATGGACCCACCCTGGAGAATTATCCTACTTGGACAACGAGGGATCACCTAAGTAAGTAAGTAAGTAAGTAAGTAAGTAAAGTAATGACTTGAAGACACATAACAAACCCATGCCCTGCAGGTATGGCTCCGATCTCGGCCTCTGCTCCAAAAAGTGTACTTGCTAGAATTAATTTTATTCACTTAGGAAACTGTTATTTTTTGTTTATCCAGTTATTTCTTTTATTCACTTACACCATGCAATTGAGGAAGCTCTGAAATAATATGCTTCTCGGAGTTGAAATGTAATTAATGCTATCTTTAGCAATAGCTCTAAAATAATATAGCTACTGGGACCAATCTGACAAGGCATACTTCTTCTAAAATTAAGATCCCTTGTATATAGATATTGTACGAGTACATAACAGCTCGTGCATGTTTCAGACCAATTTGTGATTATCTATATCTATATCTATATCTATATATATAATAAAGAAGAGTGTTTGTATCGGACAGAGGAATTGTGGAGGGCGGTGTATGTGGCAGCGTTCTGATTGGCTGCCGCTGTGGTGCTATTTGCATATGGTCTCTGATTGGCCAGCTTCAATAGGAGCCCCTGTGGAGAAGAGGGTTCATGGCAGAAACGGGGCATGACAGAAGGAAATTTGCATATGGTCTCTGATTGGCCAGCCTCAAATCCAACATTCCGAGATGAGAAAGAGAGGAAAGGAAAGGCCGGGGCTGGGTCAGAACACTCCCAATACAGACCGAAATAGGCACACAGAGCCCCCATAACCCACTCGACATCCTACTGCAGTTTGGAGGAGTATGAACCATGGATGATGGGACTTGCAGTACCACCACTCACATTCTGAGACCGCTGTTAACCTTATCCAATGACTGATCAGGACCAAACTTCGCACAGAGACCTCTCATGACCCACTTTACGTCCTGATGTGGTTTGGCCGGGGATGGACCGTGGATTATGGGACTTGCAGTACCATTGCTTAATTCTTCATACCACTGCAACGCTCATCCAATTACCGATAAAGACCAAACTTGGCACACAGAGTCCCCATGACCCACTCTACATCCTGGTGCACTTTTGAGGAGGACAGACCATGGATGATGGGACTTGAAGTACCTCCACTCTCTTCCCAAGACGGCTGCAACCCTCATCTAATGTCTGATCAAGATCAAACTTGGCACACAGAGCCCCCATGACCCACTCTGCATCCTGCTGCAGTTTGAAGGAGGATCGACTTTGGATGATGGGACTTGCAGTACCATCACTCACATTCTGAGACCGCTGTTAAACTCATCCAATGTCTGATCAGGACCAAACTTGGCACATAGACCTCTCATGACCCACTTTACATCCTGTGTGTGTTTGTCTGGGGATAGACCATGGATTATGGGACTTGCAGTACTTTTGCGCAATTCCTGAGACCAGCAACGCTCATCCAATTACCGATAAAGACCAAACTTGGCACACTGAGTCTCCATGACGCACTCTACATCCAGGTGCAGTTTGAAGGAGGATGCACCATGGACGATGGGACTTGTAATACCTGCACTCCCTTCCTAAGACCATTACAACTGCCAACAATGATGGATCAGGAACACAATTTACACAGAGAGCCCGCATGACCCACTCTACATCCTGGTGCGGTTTGGAAGAATTTGACAATGGATGATGGGACTTGCAGTCACTTCACTCACTTCCTGAGACGACTGAGACCCTCGCCAATGACTAATCAAGACTAAACTTGGCACATGGAGCTCCAATGACCCACTCTACATCCTGGTGCAGTTTGGAGGAGGACAGACCATGGATGATGGGACTTCAAGTACCTCCACTCCCCAAGACTGCTGCAAAACTCATCTAATGACCAATCAAGACAAAAGTTGGCACACAGAGCCCCCATGACCCACTCTACATCCTGCTGCAGTTTTGGAGAAGGGTGGACCATGGATGATGGAACTTCCAGTACCTTCACTCACTTTCTGAGACCTCTGCAAACTTCATCCAATGATGGATCAAGACCAAACTTGGCACATAGACCTCTCATGACCCACGTTACGTCCTGGTGTTGTTTGGAAAAAAATTGGAGATGGATGATGGGACTTGCAGTACCTTTGCTCACTTCCTGAGACCACTGAGACCCTCGCCAATGACTAATCTAGACTAAACTTGGCACATGGAGCTCCAATGACCCCCTCTACATCCTGGTGCAGTTTGGAGGAGGACAGACCATGGATGATGGGACTTCAAGTACCTCCACTCCCTTCCAAAGATTGCTGCAACCCTCTTCTAATGACCAATCAAGACCAAACTTGGCACATAGAGCCCCCATGATCCACTTTACATTCTGCTGCTGTTTGAAAGAGGATGGACTTTGGATGATGGGACTTGCAGTACCTTCACTCACTTACTGACACCACTGCCACCCTCATCTAATGACTGATAAAGACCAAACTTGGCACACAGAGCCCCCATGACCCACTCTATATCCTGCTGCTGTTTGTAGGAGGATGGGCCATGGATGATGGGACTTCAAGTACCTTCACTCACTTCCTGAAAATAATGCAGCCGTTATCCAAAGACCAATAAAGACCAAACTTGGCATACAGAACCGCCATTACCCACTTTCTCTAATAACCCGGGCAACGCCGGGTCCCCAAGCTAGTATATAATAAAGAAGAGTGTTTGTATCGGACAGAGGAATTGTGGAGGGCGGTGTATGTGGCAGCGTTCTGATTGGCTGCCGCTGTGGTGCTATTTGCATATGGTCTCTGATTGGCCAGCTTCAATAGGAGCCCCTGGTGGAGAAGAGGGTTCATGGCAGAAACGGGGCATGACAGAAGGAAATTTGCATATGGTCTCTGATTGGCCAGCCTCAAATCCAACATTCCGAGATGAGAAAGAGAGGAAAGGAAAGGCCGGGGGCTGGGTCAGAACACTCCCAATACAGCCCGAAATAGGCACACAGAGCCCCCATAACCTACTCGACATCCTACTGCAGTTTGGAGGAGTATGAACCATGGATGATGGGACTTGCAGTACCACCACTCACATTCTGAGACCGCTGTTAACCTTATCCAATGACTGATCAGGACCAAACTTCGCACATAGACCTCTCATGACCCACTTTACGTCCTGGTGTGGTTTGGCCGGGGATGGACCATGGATTATGGGACTTGCAGTACCATTGCTCAATTCTTCAGACCACTGCAACGCTCATCCAATTACCGATAAAGACCAAACTTGGCACACAGAGTCCCCATGACCCACTCTACATCCTGGTGCACTTTTGAGGAGGACAGACCATGGATGATGGGACTTGAAGTACCTCCACTCTCTTCCCAAGACGGCTGCAACCCTCATCTAATGTCTGATCAAGATCAAACTTGGCACACAGAGCCCCCATGACCCACTCTGCATCCTGCTGCAGTTTGAAGGAGGATCGACTTTGGATGATGGGACTTGCAGTACCATCACTCACATTCTGAGACCGCTGTTAAACTCATCCAATGTCTGATCAGGACCAAACTTGGCACATAGACCTCTCATGACCCACTTTACATCCTGGTGTGTGTTTGTCTGGGGATAGACCATGGATTATGGGACTTGCAGTACTTTTGCGCAATTCCTGAGACCACAGCAACGCTCATCCAATTACCGATAAAGACCAAACTTGGCACACTGAGTCTCCATGACGCACTCTACATCCAGGTGCAGTTTGAAGGAGGATGCACCATGGACGATGGGACTTGCAATACCTGCACTCCCTTCCTAAGACCATTACAACTGCCAACAATGATGGATCAGGAACACAATTTACACAAAGACCCAGCATGACCCACTCTACATCCTGGTGCGGTTTGGAAGAATTTGACAATGGATGATGGGACTTGCAGTCACTTCACTCACTTCCTGAGACGACTGAGACCCTCGCCAATGACTAATCAAGACTAAACTTGGCACATGGAGCTCCAATGACCCACTCTACATCCTGGTGCAGTTTGGAGGAGGACAGACCATGGATGATGGGATTTCAAGTACCTCCATTCCCTTCCAAAGATTGCTGCAATCCTCTTCTAATGACCAATCAAGACCAAACTTGGCACATAAAGCCCCCATGATCCACTCTACATTCTGCTGCTCTTTGAAAGAGGATGGACTTTGGATGGTGGGACTTGAAGTACCTTCACTCACTTACTGCCACCACTGCCACCCTCATCTAATGACTGATAAAGACCAAACTTGGCACACAGAGCCCCCATGACCCACTCTATATCCTGCTGCTGTTTGAGGAGGATGGCCATGGATGATGGGACTTCAAGTACCTTCACTCACTTACTGAAAATAATGCAGCCGTTATCCAAAGACCAATAAAGACCAAACTTGGCATACAGAAACGCCATTACCCACTTTCTCTAATAACCCGGGCAACGCCGGGTCCCCAAGCTAGTATATAATAAAGAAGAGTGTTTGTATCGGACAGAGGAAGGGCGGTGTATGTGGCAGCGTTCTGATTGGCTGCCGCTGTGGTGCTATTTGCATATGGTCTCTGATTGGCCAGCTTCAG